CATAGATTTGAGTTTCATTATTTCTCTCTGTAAAGCAAAATATTTCTTCATCTTTGTATGCCTTACGGGCAATATCATAAAAATAGTCAGAGAATAATAAAATAACATTGGATGTAGGATTTGCTTTAAGCATTTGAACCACTATAAAAACCTCTCTTGTCAGTCTATTATTTATGTTTCTGAAACATATGTAATCTTAGTATCATATTCAAATCTCATGGATCGATCACGTGTAATTTCTAAGACTCTCTTAGCACTTTGCATGTGCGAGTCGTTGATGTCCAAAATCAAGCATTAACAGTTTGGTGGCCCATGCAGGTCTCAAACCTGCATCAGAGTTCTCCGATCGCGAGGCCAGATCGCTGATGGCACGCTCAGATCGTCTTGATCTTCAGCTTCAGATCACTGATCTTCAGCTTCAGATCGCGTGGCTCAAATCACTAATCGCATGCTCAGATCGCCGATCTGTGATCGAAGAGTTAAAGATCAGCAATCTTCAGCTTCAGATTGCTGATCTTTAACTCTCCGATCGCGTGGTCAGATCACTGATCGCATGCTCAGATCGTCTTAATCTTCAGCTTTAGATCGCTGATCTTTAGCTTCAGAACGCGTGGCTCAGATTGCTGATCGCACGCTCAGATCGCTGATCTTTAGCTCTTCGATTGCGTGGGCAGATCACTGATCGCACGCTCAGATCGTCTTGATCTTCAGCTTTAGATCGCTGATCTTTGCCATCAGATTGAGTGGCCAAATCACTGATCTTCAGCTTTAGACTGTTGATCTTTAGCTTTCCAATCGTGTGGCCAGATCGCTGATTGCACACTTAGATCATCTTGAACTTCAGCTTCAGATCGCGTGGCTAGATCGCTGATTGCACGTTTAGATCCTCTTGATCTTCAGCTTCAGATCGCTGATCTTTAGCTCTCTGATCGCGTGGCCAGATTGTTGATCGCACGCTCAGATCGTCTTGATCTTCAGCTTTAGATTGCTGATCTTTAGCTTCAGATCGCGTGGCCAGATCGCCAATCTCACGTTCAGATCCTCTTAATCTTCAACTTCAGATCGCTGATCTTTAGCTCTTTGATCACGTGGCCAGATCGCTGATCGCACGCTCAGATCATCTTGATTTTCAACTTCAGATCGCTGATCTTTAGCTCTCTAATCGCGTGGCCAGATCGCTGATCGCACGTTCAAATCGTCTTGATCTTCAGCTTTAGATCGCTGATCTTTAGCTTTAGATCGTTGATCTTTAGCTTTAGATCGCGTGGCTAGATCACTAATCGCACGCTTAGATCGTTGATCTCGAGTTCTTAGATCAAGCTTTGCGCTTTCTGATCGAACTACTTGTGTTCTCAAATTTCGTGCTTTCTGATCGAATTCCTTTCGCTCTTTCTGATCGAGCTCTTTATGCTCTCTGATCGAGCTCCTTATGTTCTCTGATTGAGCTCATAAGCTCACTCGTTTACTTGAGATTGTGTGCATTAGATCGTTTAGATCGCATGCCTCAGACTTTCAGGTCGAGCTCCTATTAGATCGCGATCAGCTCCTAGCTCTCAAATCGCGATCAACTCTTAGCTCTGATATTGCAAACAACCTCAAGTCATGTTCTCAACTCTTAGATCGCGATCAATTCTTAGTTCTCAGATCGCGACTAGCTGCCAGCGTTAGAAAAAACGTGTAGAAAACTCAAAACAGCCCCGAAACATGCAGAAATGGTGGATTTTGGCTGGAAAATGGCCCCAATCAGGTTCTCCGATTGCTATGACATAGAGCTCAGAACAAGCTTTCCGTGAATATCTTACGGGCTCCAAAGCTCCTCCTAGATCAAAAGTTATGGTTGAAGTTGGCTTATCCGTTTAAGGCCTCTAAGCCGTGCGTTTAGGTTTCTGACATTAGCTCCCTCTAGCAATTCATCTACTGTACATTTCATGTCAGTTATCAGATCGCGTTCAGCTTTGGATCGCTTCAAGCTCTCAGATCACAATCCTAGCTCTCAGCACCCGATCGCACTAAGCATAGTTCAAGCTCTTCAATTCGAGACTACAACCTATAGTGCGACAACCATTCAAATCTTAGACATGAGTTTTTGAAGTGCAATTACACACTCCAAAAACTGGGGGGTTTCTGTTGTGCCTAAAAAATTGCACTGATGTCAGCACCAATCAATCAGAGTTCAGGAAGGTTTTGTGTCGTCCAGGAGCTGCCACATCGCCCCAAGACAGAAGAGATATGGCTGTCACCAACCCAGTAGATTCAAGTTTTGTCTATGAGTGGATGAGGATCACACACTTGTCTCAACTTTATCAAAATAAAAAGATAAGGATTAAGGAGTAGTCCCCACGTGTCATGACAACTTGTAGAAGTACTCATTACATTGACCTAAAAGGTGTATAAATGAGCACATCTCTTCACGAAAAGAGGAGGTTGGGCATATGAGAGCTAGACATAGATTTGAGCTTCATTATTTCTCTTTGTAAAGTAAGGTATTTCTTTATCTTTGTATGCTTTACGGGCAATATCATAAAAATAGTCAGAGAATAATAAAATAACAGTAGATATAGGATTTGCTTTAAGCGTTTGAACCACTATAAAAACATCTCTTGTTAGTCTATTATTTATGTTTCTGCAACATATATAATCTCAGTACCATATTCAAATCTCATGGATCGATCACGTGTAATTTCTAAGACTCTCTTAGCACTTTGCACGTGCCAGTCGTTGTCCAAAATCAAGCATCAACATATTTGTACCCAATTGTATACGTAAAACTAAGGAAATAAATGAGTTGGATAGCTGTTGCAGGTGAGAAAGTGTATAAATTCTTTTTTTCTTATAATGGAAGATGTGATTATTTGAATTTAATTCAAATTTTGTTTTAAACCATATGGAAATGGAACAAGTCCTGGCTTTTCTTCCTTTAATATACCCGACAGTGAGCCCAAAAACGATGCCCAGCAGTTTGCGGCGGCTTCGGCTGGTGTTTGGTGAGGGATAAATAAATGGACTTGTTATCTATTTCAAAAAGGCCCAACCACAACCTATCTTGGACCTAAGCCTTTCTCGTCCACTTCGAGTAATATAGTGGCTTGGTGGATCTATTTCTCCTTAAGCGCAGGTTGATGGGTTTTTAAGTAATTAACCAAAAGTTTAGGGGCCTATAGTTAGCCAAAATTTCAAACCCTATACCCATATAATCACCAAATGCCGTTTTCCTGAAATTATCCTCATATATAAGCAAAATTTTCTTCAGTCTTCTACAATTTAAAAGAAAAAAAACGGCTAGAAGCTGATTTTTATTTTTTATTTTTTTCTCTCTTATTACATTAATCATGGTATAAATTTGATTACAGTGAGTACTTTGATTGCATTTTGATTGATTTTTGGTCAATGGTGGTAATGAAGTTAACTGCGACACTTTGAAGGAAATTGTTAGATTTTTGAGTTTTTGTAAGATTTCTATGTTTAAGTTAGGGTTTTTGGATTTTAAATTTCTAAGGTTTTCGGGTTAATGTGATTATTGTTATGGAAGTTGTTTTTATGAATGTTGTGAGTGTTGGTGGTGTGGATGTTGTTGTGTTTGATGCGAATAGAATCATATTGGTTTGTTTGTATTCAAATTTGAATTGTGACGTGAGAAAATACGCCAATTGGGAGTTGACATAATTGTTTATGTCTATTGGTTTAAAAATATGCCAATTGGGGAATTTCTTGTAAAGTTTCACAGTTGACATAATTTTTTACACGAACTGGTTTAAAAATACGCTAACTGATTTAAAGTGTAAAATTTGCCTTTCTTTGTTAGCATAAATGCTATTAGTGTGAAATATTTTATCCATTGGCATATTAAATTATGCCAACCAGGAAAGGGTGAATAACAAGAGACAATCATTTTAAGTTAACATAAAAAGTGAAAAATTGCAAGAATATAATGATTTTAAGTTAAAGATCAATCTTCTTACTTGAATGTAGTGGTTTTACTTGCTTGATATTGTGTTTTTTGTGTGAGAGGTTGCAAATGAAAGTTTGAAAATGATATTTAACTAAGAAGTTGGTTACATTGGTGTTTGAAATTTTGGTTAATTACTATAGACCTGAAAAATTTAGTTATTTTAATTAAAAACCCCGTGATCTTAAGAGAAATCCAAAATATTGTAATACTTTCACTTTAGAGTGATGCCATTGGCCCTCCATATTTTATATTAGTCGACCATTGTTTCTGAATTAGTTAAAATATTATCCTTTTATGAAAATTACTAAAAGAGGTATAAATTCTTTCTATTAGCTTTCCACATGTTAACCTGGTATTAAACACCCTAATTCTAGTTCTAGTCTAGTTCTTTTTTCCTCATACAAGAGAAAAATAGTTTTATGAAAAACAAGTAAGTGTTAAAATCTTTGGTTTTTCGAATTTTCTTCAATTTTCTATTAATCTACACTTCTTTGAAAACAAACTAATTATTTGCTTAATATCAATAGTATGCTATTCTTACCAAGTTCCTAAAAGAATTTCATTTTTTTTTTTAGTGATCAAGGGTGTTTAAGTCAACTTATGCACACCTCAACTATCCCTTGGAGCCCTAAAATGAATGATCGGGTAAAACCTTTAGGTAACCCTATTAGTGCCTGGGGGAACTCGAATAGGAACCCATGTTGGATCCTTTGCTCTTTTTTTTTTTTTTTTTTTTTTTTTTTTTTTTTTTTTTTTTTCAAGTTCTATAAAAAAGTAAAAGGTTGATATTGTGAGATATAGATGAAGAGTATATAAATAAGAAGCTATAAGATGTGGAGTGAAAATTAAATATAAAGGTTACATGGGAAGACAAAACACATTGAATTAGATGTAACATTCATAAGGGATATGTTTGCAGAGAAGCAACTTCAGATCAGAACTCTGCTTCTTCAAAATCTGTGTTTACATTTTCTCATAAATTAGTAATCATAAATGAATATTGCCTTCAACAAATTCCCTTCTTCACGCAAAAGTTCTATATTTGCATGCTTTATTTTGCAGGAGAGAACTTTTTGAGAGGAGACTTAATAAAGCTACAAATTTCATTGTCATCCACCATAAGCTTCTCTTGTGCTTGGCCCCAAATCACAGCATAAAAGCCAAGAGCTATTGTAGCTGCTCCAACCAAACTGCAAAACCATTCAAATAATACAACCATATTCTTCTCTTGTCATATTTAAGACTCTTTAAAGAATTACTACATAAATATGCATAGAGAATTAAATAAATTATACCTTCCAAGATAAATGGTATCCCCCAGGAATGCAACTCCAGACACAATTGCAATGACCATTCCAAGTGGCTTAAACATGGAAACATAGACTGGTCCCTTCTTCTTTAATGCCCATGTATGAAGTACGGATCGAAGTGATAACGCAAAAGCTGCCTAGAGATTAAGTAGCAGCATCCAGTTAGTTCAATATTTAACAAACCGTTTTAAACGTGGAACAGAAGCACAAATCCTAGCTACAATTAAGCAAAGGTTCTTCTCCACACTTACCGAATACCCAATTGCCATCAAATTGATATTAGGCTTCAGTCTCCAAGCATTTGCATCTTTCTCTGCTACCAGGGAGACTATGGCAGACAGAATGCTTACAAAGATGCAGCAAATGAGTGTTACCATCAGCTCGGCGGGGTAGTCCCTAATAATCCATGTCTGAATATTTGGAAAGTAAAACAACATATTTGGTTAATTCCCTTGGACTGGTGCTTGAACTTTGAATATTTTAAATAGGTGTACCTGGACAATGTAGTACGATGCCAGAATAACACTGTGAAGTGCGAGAAAAAAGCCTCCTAGAACCCAATTTGATTGAGATGATAGCATAATTTCCTTAAGTAACTTATTAGTTGATGGAGCAACTGTAATGGGCAAACCTTTGTATAGAGTCACAATTAGTGCCCCTGTCATCAAAACCAAAGTTCCAATGGACTTGGCTTGACTGCTTTGAACTCTTAGGTCCAGGTTTTCCATCCTGAAAACTTCCAATATTTGATATTAGTCCAGTTAATAATTAATTATTAAAAATATTGGAAGTTTTAATTCATAATATAGATCCATTATTAAAATGTTATACACATTGAATGGAAAATAATTTATCTATTGGACATTTTCCAGAAAGAAGCTAAGGTAGTAGTTTGTCCTATCTAATTGGAAAATGACATTCTGGTCCATCAAGGAAAATCTGGAAAGCCTATTTGGTGGTGCCCCTGGAGGTTTCCTTCGGCCAGGACAAGGTGTTTCTCATCTGACACAGAATTATTTGGTTGTAGTTTCCATTTTCATTTCACCACTGTGTTAGAATTTGTCCATGTCTCTTTTACTGATATTTTACGAAGTTTCAACCCTTTGTTTTGACATGTTTGAGTATATGATGGACATTAACATGTAGTGCTAATGTTAATTGACCCATATCTTGGTGATTGAGAGGGAAAGTTTACCAACCAATTCTAAATTTTGATAATCAACTTGACATTGATTAAACGCACCCAACTTGTCTTTTATTAGAAAAGTCTTCCATACTGGGCAGGTGAATTGATGAATGCATGTTATGTATGCATCATTTTTTCTTTCATCATCCTTAAGAATCAGCGTAATTAGTGTTTTTTTAAGATATTGATTTACATATTATAGAATTTTATTAGCTTCATGCAGGAATAAATTGTATGTTTTGGTAACTTTATTAGTAAATTTGAGAACTCAAATTTGACCTTCCCTGACAGGAGAGATTTGAATAGAGAAAGGAGAGGGCACCTGGAGATTATGGCAAGTATGAAGGTAAAGCCTGGAGTTAAATCGATCATAGCCGATGCCAGAGTTGGAGAGCTATACTCTATCCCAATATAGTGAAACATCTGCCCGCAGCAACTACAAGAACAATACTCATAAATTAACACACAAATACGCATGTTCCTGTAATGAGATTACAATATTATGATCGTTAACATCCCTGTGTTAATTAAGAAACCTGTACCTGACCAGGCTAAGGATGAAGATTCTATATACTATGGAACACGTGAGCTGGGGACGACTTCGTTGTCTGCTAAACGAGAAGAAAGGTAAAGAAACTATAAGATGTTGTATGTTGAGCTAGAATTGAGTTGAAGAAGATGAGTACTTACCTATAGAAGATGAAGGAACAAGGAACAAGGAAGAAGATGGCAAGGATATTAGAGTAGACAACAAGGACAAAGTGACTCATGCCACCGCTCATGGCTGCCTTAGTGACGGTGTTTAAACCTACATCCAAGAACTCTAACATCACCATAACTTCTGTTACGCTTGGACTCCACATTTATTGCTCTTTGTGAGGGACGAGCGAGTGTTATGTGATGCTCTTGTGCCAACAACAAAGCACTCCGCAATCAGGGACGGATTTCAATCCCAGAGATCTATGGGAAATTTTGTGCCATGCCTTATAGACGTGGATGCTTAAAATGGTTGGCTGATACTACACAATTAATGTAGGGAAGATGAAGACAATTTGCTACATAATAATTTTTTTTTTCCCTGTTTTGGAGAACTTTCGTTTATCTCTTGAAGTAGTGTATGTACTTTGTTTATTTGACCATTTCGAATTTCTTAAGAATGAAAAAAGTACTTCCAAAACTTAAATATTGAGATTGAGAGTTCATTTTCTGTTACAATGGAGGTCATGCAGAGGTCAACCTTATTGGGCCAGTCATGATATGCACTATGCAGAACACTTTATCAAATGCCTCTGCCATTTTAATAGCCTGTAAATATGTGTTTTTAAATCACAACCGTACATTTAGCAGCTTTTGATTAGACAACTGGCAAAACAAAGACACTTTACCTTTTAGATATCTAAGGTCATAATCAATATGTACATGCATTATTGAGCACAACAACCCAGTGACGAAAATTTCTAGAATACAACAGTATACCACACTCTAGTCAATTTCGATAATATTAGATCTACAAATAAAGGTTTGTTTGTGTAAACTGATATGTCATAAAATAAATAAAAGAGTTAATATAAAAAGTTAAACTTATCATATTTTTTTATTTATTTATTTTGTGCTACATCAATTTATGCATATCTTTATAAGATTTATTTTTATATGTAACATTAGTAAGTGAATTTTCATCTCTGAAATTTCTCTTCCCTTTGTCTTTAAATCAGTTGTGATTAGTGGTTATTAAATGTATTAAATACTTAGCATATACATGAATTGTCTTGCAGTACCAAATAGGCAATAACACTGTGGTACCCAGAAACTGAAAATTCATCATTGCATTAGGGATTTAGTATTAGTCTGGTACGAAGGAGGCAATGGAACAGGCAAACCTTTGTTGGGCTTGGGTTTCCTCGTATAGATAATGGCCCAAAATCCTAAAGTCCAAAAAAAAAAAAAAAAAAAAAAAAGTACAACTTGTTTTAGTTGATTTTTGAGTGGGTGAACAGTCAGAAAATGTGATGATGTTCACCCATTAAAAATATATAGAAGTGAGAGAGATGAAGCCACACTAGCTTATTCCAATGACAATCCAACGGTGAATTTTGATCCGTTTTGGCTCAAATATCAGAGTATTGTTGTTGACGGTAAGATCTTCACATCTAACGGTTAATTTCGTGATAACCATATTTTTTGTGGAGTTTTACCTCTAGAAAAATAGTCAAATTAAAGAGTTGAATTACAGAATTTTCAGTCCATCTGTCCTTCTTCAACCTAGCGATTGGAAGGTCATCCCTAGTCTGATTTACCTAATTTTTTGTCAAAACGCAGAAGACGTTTCGCTCTTCAATCTGGACAGTTGGTTTTCATTTTTAATGGTTAAGTTTAGAGTTATAAAGCCTACATTTCGGATGCTTTGCTGGTGATTTTACTCTTATCTTTTCGTAACTCTTTTGTGTATTTCACTTTGTTAGAGTTGTGATAAAACTCTAAATTTTATATGGAATATTATTGGCGATTTGTGGTTGTTTTAAACACTTTTTTATTATAGTAGATTTAAGTGGATAATTCGATCCCGTGGTTTTTTAGTCTCTTTACATCGAAAAGGTTTTTCCACGTAAAACTGTTTATGTTTCTTGTGGATTAATTGTTATTTCAGGCATATTTGTTCAAGGTTTTGTTTCTCATAGATTCATTCAAGTAGGAAATATTTTATTAGTGTATTATTTCCTTTCAACCTTGTCATACTAGCACAATATAATTCTTGATAGACAGAATGATGTTATCCAGTTATAAGTTTAATGAAGAAAAGAGAATACAGTAAAACTAATTTTCCAACTCTTAAGTTTACAATTACAGGTACACTTACTTTCTTGACCATAACCCAGAAATTATTTTGCAGCTAAATAATTACTTTGATTAGGCTTTAGCATTATGTTCGCTTCTGTGCAAAATTATTATATCTCCATGCTTCTGTTTTCCAGGAGAGGGGCATTAGGAGATGATGACTTCGAGCAATTGATTCCTTTGTCATCAACCATCTTTTCCTCTTGGGCTTGGCCCCAAAGCGCAGAATAAAATCCAAAAGCAATTATGGAACCTCCAGTAATACTGCACAGAAATAAAAATCCAACAATTTTATGGTTACTTACTCCTTCCCGTCAAAACAAAATTCAACTATAACGTAGTTACTAGAAAGCAACTGATTCACCTTTATGTTTTATATTTCATTTATTTTCTTTATACCTAGTAGCTCTTGGTACAAGTTTTCTTATTTCTTGTTAAACCAGTAAGAAGCATTTTGATGATCAAATAGAATTTATCGCTAAAGGTGGAGTTTCAGTCCGTATAGTTTAGCCTAAGGATTCCTATCCAAATGCAAAGTTAATTGTTGTTAATGCAAAGAACACCCATCTGAGAAATATCAAGTATATAATTATACCTTCCAAGATAAAGAGTATCCCCAAGAAGAGTAACCCCCATTACAACTGCAATGATTATTCCAACTGGCTTAAACATGGAAACATAGACAGGTCCCTTCTTATGACATGCCCACGCGTGCACAAGATTTCGAAGTGCTACTCCAAAAACTGCCTAGATATTAAACAGCAGATCAAGTTATTACAATATTGAGAAGATCTTGGATAATAAGAGACAATGCTACAATTACAAGAAATGTACATAAGCTCCTCTCTATATATACTTACCGAATACAAAATAGCTATCAACTCCATGTCTGCCCTTAGAGTCCAAGAATTTGGGTTTCTCTCTAGAATTAGAGCAAGTATGGCAGTTTGAAATGTTGCAAAGACGCAAACAATGAAAGTTACCACTAACACACATGCACACTCACACCCTTTTACCCTTATGCCCTTTATATTGATACACCTTCTTAATGGGAGGTCTATCAGAATGGAAAAGGGAGAAGAAGAACCTGAAAATGATAGTGTTATGCCCGGAAAAGTAGGGCTAACGTAGAGCCCTGTCAGCGTAATTGGTCAAAGCTTAGGTAAGTCCAACAGCCATTCAAACGCAGCCACGTCGCACGCTGATGCAAGAGGCATGCTCCTCCCAGTGCAGTAGGTGTGCGCTAGGCTGGTGAAAGGTTAGAGGCGTTCCACGTGTCCAAATCTCTGCGCGAGTCAAGGAAATCAATCGAACAGGTGAATAACGGGGCGCAAGGAAGGATTTGGACGGCAATCTGACCCACTCCCTGATTTAGTAATCATTACCTCAATTCATCCCACTATAAATAGAGGGCTCTTCTCCCGTTTGTAGGATTAGCTAATTTCTCTCTAAAATAGCATACACACTTTCTCTCTTTGTAACTTGTAAATCAGCTCGCTGAACGCGACCTGACCTCAGTATATTAATACAATATCGATGGACGTAGGAGTCGCTTGTTTAAGCATCCGAACCACTTTAAACATTGTTCTCCATCTCTTATCCATTCTCATACCCCCATTCGCGTGGGTCTTCTAACTCAGCTCAACATTTCACGCGTGCGTTTAGTTAGTGTCAAAATCAAGCATCAATAGTTTGACGCTTGAAGGAGAGCCTGATTTAGTATTCATCCTTCATCGGGAGAATCTCTAACTAATTGGTCCTACAACAACAAATGGCTCGCAGATTTGAATCTGAGCGACCCAATCATGGTGAGGAAGAAGTCCCCTAGGTGTAAGAGGGCACTTCGGAAGTTCCGCAAAATCTTGTGAGAGATATTCCTTCAAGCTCATGGCTTGATCCAGCCGTTATGAGCTACCTGGAGAGGTTCAACAATACTCTCCAAACGGTCAACCAAAGGTTGGACCTTTTGGATCGGATTGCACCACTCGAATCAAATGAGGTGGTGCCACCGCCAAAAACGCCTGCAGGTCGCATGAAAGCGCGGAAAAGGGTGATAGCCCATGCCGCGTGCACTGCATCGCATCAAAGGAAGGGAAAGCGGGTGGCAAACAACGGGCCTAGAGGCTCCGAGGGACCAGTGAACACCGACCACACCCCGAGTAGAATACTCGTGTCACAAAGACTCGGTGACAGGTCACAGCCCCAGTTGTCCCATGCTACATTGCGTGAGCACTCCCACAAAAGTGCGAGGCAGGGCAATTCCATCATCGCCAGAATGACGATTCCGATCGTCGTCGTGCAGGAAGTTCCCACACTCAGACGGGTGCTTCGTACCACCGCGGAGGTTGTGAAGATTCCCCGCACCATTCATCGCCATCACAAGACTCTAGCCAGCGTGTGTCAAGATTGGCCAGAACTGTCGGCAGAGGCGAGGAGGAATCCGACCTTCGGACTTTCCTTAACAATCACGAGGGTCGAACCCGCACGGGGGAAAGTAATCCCCAGATGGCTCCGCTGCCTCAGATTGAGGAGCTACAACGAGCTCTAGATCATCTAAAAGCTCAGCAAAATGAGCGAAGGCAAGTCACAAAGGCGTCTCCTTTTTCTCCGGCTGTGTTAGCCGCCCCTCTCCCATCCAGATTCAAAATGCCTGATATGCGGGCGTTCGATGGGAATTCTAACCCGCAGGATCATTTGTACGAATTCAACGACTTGATAGAACTTCACCAAGTTTCTGACTTGGCAAAATGCCGATGCTTGGCAGTGACTCTTACATCTCATACCAAGTAGTGGTTCAAGTCGCTCTTGGCAGGATCAATTAGCTCGTGGAACCAGATGAGCTCAACATTCTTAAGACACTTCCAGGTGAATAAGAAGTTCTCAATGCCTTTGAGCTACCTTAGCAACATAAGGCAAGAGAGGGATGAATCCCTCCAATCTTACATTGATAGGTTCCATAAGGAGCTCCATAAAGTAGCTCACACTCCCGAAGAGTCCGTTCGGACTCTCAACATCGCTGGAGTTCATCTGCTGACAGATCTTTGGAATGAGCTGCAATCAGAGGATGATGTTTCTCTGACCCGCTTTTACAGCCTTACGGAGCAATACCTCTGTATTGAGAACTCCGTGGCGAGGCTCCACCGCCACGACCCCAACACTTCAGGCAGTGCGCAAGGTCAGGGGGAAAACATGAGGGCTGATTGTCGATGGGCTAACGATGATCAGCAAAAAGGAAAGAAATAGCGATTCGAGCCCAAGAAGTCTTATGCTCCGGTTCCTTGTCTCGATCGATAGGAATCAGTATACCCCTTTAAATGCATCCGTTTCAGCCATTCTTGATAAGTCAGAAGAGGCCGGTTTGCTCAGAGAGCCTGAGCCCATGAAAGTCCCTCCTCATCTAGAAACAGCAAAAAATATTATCGTTATCATCGGGACAATGGGCATCACACCGACGAGTGCTGAGCTCTCAAGCAAGCAATCAAAGACCTTATCAAATAGGGGCATTTCAAGGAGTATGTTGATGATTCTGCTCCCATAAGGAGAAAAATCGAGAGAAACCGGGTAAAAAGAGTCGTGATCGCAAAGGTATCTGCAACGTAGGGATAATCTTTGGAGGACCACACCTCAGAGGAAACTCACGAGGTGCCCAAGAAAGATATGCTCGCGCATCCCATCATGACCCTATTAGTGTGATGAACACGATGCATCGACCACCAAAGGTTCACAGGGAGGAGGACATCACCTTCTCTGAAAAAGACATAGTCTGATTGCATCATCCCCATGATGATGCTCTCGTCATCACACCCCAAATAGGGCGCTTTGAAGTCCACAGAATGCTGGTGGACAACGGAAGCGCTATGAATGTACTGTTCCAGCCAGCTTTTGAGAGAATGAAATTGGATGAGACCGAAGCTCGCCTCAATCCCCCTATATGGTTTTACGAGGGATCATCTAATCCCCAAAGGAACAATCTCGCTTCCAGTCACGCTGGTGACTCTGACGAGGTGACCAAAATAACTGAATTCTTAGTAGTGGATTTCTTGTCTGCTTTCAATGGCATCCTAGGGTGACCTTTACTAAGGAACTTCAAAGCAGTCACTTTAATCTACCATCTCAAGATGAAGTTGCCCACCCCGACAGGGATAGGGGAAGTAAGCGGATCTCAGAGCGCATCTCGCGACTACTATGTAAAGGTAATGCAGATGGCGTGCAAGGGGAAAGGCATCTCGTGTGGCATTCCCAAACAGGCAATGGTGATCAGCCAAATTTAATCACAGCCAGGCGCAATCGAGGATAACTTGGATCTTTGTATCCAGGAATGCCCTTCCAGTGGGCCAGTTGAGGATTTATTAGAAGTGTCAGTTGACCAGAGCGAGCCGAGCAGAGTGTTGAGGATTAGAAGCAATCTCAACCCCCAACTCGCCAGCAACCTGACCAGCTTCCTCAGAGAGAATATCGATGTGTTCGCATAGACGGATGCTGATATGGTTAGGATTAGCCCGAACATCATTTGCCATACCTTGAACATCGATAGTGAAGCTAGACCGGTTCGCCAGAAAAGAAGAGTGATGGATCCAGAGTGATATGTTGCCTTAAAAATTGAGGTAGAGAACCTCCTTCAGAATGGGTCTATCCAAGAAGCGCTCTACCCGATCTGGGTTGCCAACACAGTTCTAGTAAAAAAGCCCAGTGGTAAGTGACGGACTTTTGTGGACTTCACCAACCTCAATAAAGCTTGCCCAAATGACAACTTTCCCCTACCAAGGATCAACCAGCTCGTGGATGCACCTCCGGGCACAAGCTACTGAGTTTTATAGACGCGTACTTGAGATACAATCAAATTCTGATGTATGCGCTAGACGAAGAGCATACCTTATTTGTCACAGATCGGGGGCTGTATTGCTATATAGTTATGTCCTTCGGCCTGAAAAACGCTGGAGCGACTTACTGGCGGCTGATTAACCGAATATTTTTCGAGCAGATCGGGAAGTCGATGGAAGTCTATGTTGATGACATGCTAGTCAAGTCGTATGTCACTTCAGATCATATAGCACATCTAATTGAGATGTTCGATATCCTTCGAAAATACAGAATGAAGCTCAATCCCCTCAAATGCTCATTCGGAGTATCCTTAGGAAAATTTCTAGGGTACATGGTTAACCAGCAGGGAATAGAGATCAACCTCGAGAAAATCCAAGCTCTCCTCGATATGAAGAGTCTGACCAATCGAAAGCAGGTTCAGAGTCTCAATGGGCGAATAGCGGCACTCAGTCGCTTCATATTAGGGCAACAGATCGCTGCATGCCATTCTTCAACATTCTCTGGGCCAACAAGAAGTTCAAGTGGACTCCCAAGTGCGAACATGCATTCCAAAGCATTAAAGAGCACATTGGGAAGCCATCTCTTCTGACCAAGCCTCTTTTGCAAGAAATTCTCCTCTTGTATCTGTCTGTCTCTCAGTACACGGTTATTGCAGCATTAGTTCGGAAGAGAGGAAGGTTCAATGGCTAGTGTATTATGTGAGCAAACGTTTGTTGGATGCCGAGATGCGGTATCCAAAAATGGAGCGATTAGCTTATGCCCTGCCGATCACTTCCAGAAAGTTGTGACCTTACTTCTACGCCCATATAATCCATGTAATGACAAGTTACCCTCTCAAACAAGTTCTCCAGAAACCAAAGGCACTGGTAAATTGCTCAAATGGGCCATGGAACTAAGTCAGTTCGATCTGCAATATAGACCAAAAGCAACCATCAAAGGGCAGGCTGTTGCTGATTTCATTTCAGAATTCTCATATCATCCAACCAAGGAATCCGAGCAACAGGCTAGCGAAGTCAACTAGGATACTATTTAGAATCTGTCGACCTGGAGCCTATATGTCGACAGATCATCGAATAGGAGAGGGCTGGGGTAGGTCTTCTCCTCTTAAGTCTCGAGGGGACTCGCATTCATGGCATCCTCCGGTTTGGGTTCAAAGCGATCAATAATGAGGCTAAGTATAAAGCTCTGCTTGCTGGATTGTAGTTGGCCAGAGAAATGAGATCAACCATGATTAACATTCACAGCGACTCCATGCTGGTTGTCAACCAAATTTTAGGGGAATACCAGGCCAAGGAAGAAATTAAATATGATTAACTATCTAAAGGAAGCTAAGACCGCACTCGAGTCATTAAAACACTTCACAATCATACAGATTCCTAGAGATAACAATTATGTGGCAGATGCTTTGGCAAAGATAGCCTCATCGCTAGACTCAGATGCACCGAAAAGTATTCCTGTTCGGTTCATAGAGACCCCTGGAGTGTCAGCTCGACTGAACAGGCCATGAATACAATAGAATCAGTTTCCTGGATGACTCCTATCATTCAGTATCTTCGAGATGGGACCTTGCCCAACGACAAGGTCGAAGCAAGGATCCTGCGAACAAGAGCTGCTCGTTACACACTTATAGGAGAGCAGTTATACAGGCGAGGGTTTAGCGCGCTCTTTCTCCGATGTGTAACCAGCGAAAAAACAGACTACATCATGCGGGAGATACATGAAGGGATCTATGGCAATCACACGGCCGCACGATCCCTTGCCAACAAAGTTGTTCGTCAAGGATATTATTGGCCCCTGATCCAAGAAGACACCTATAATTTTGTCAAAAAGTGTGACAAGTGCCAGCAGTTTGCGAACATACCGCGAGCTCCCTCTCACCAACTGATAACCATGACTAGCCCCTGGCCATTCTCCATGTGGGGAATTGATCTCATTGGTCCCATGCTAGTTGGTAAAGGGGGAGTCAAGTATGTGGTGCTTGTTGTAGACTACTTCACCAAGTGGATCGAAGCAGAGCCATTATCCGCGATCACCACCAAAAAGCTCAAGGACTTCATCTTCAAAAACATTTTGTGCCGTTATGGGATTCCTTATACCTTCATATCTGATAATGGGAAGCAGTTCGATAACGAGGAATTCAAGCAGTTTTGCGACGAGCTGGGTATCTATAAAAAATTTGCCTTCATCGCGAGACCGCAAGCAAATGGTCAACTTGAAGATGTCAACAAAACCATCAAGCACACTCTGAAGGCTAAACTTGGCGTAGCCAAGGGGAATTGGGTTGACGACCTTCCTGAAGCCTTGTGGGCATATAGGACAACCCCGAGAACCTCTACCTCAGAAACCCCTTTTTCTCTAGCATATGGTTACGAAGCGATGATCCCTGTTGAGGTAGGGATCGGTTCACTTTGAAGGGACCTATTCAACGAAGCCGACAATGAAGCGCTTATGCGTACAAGTCTGGATCTAGTTGAAGAATATCGTAGTAAGGCTCAGCTAAGAATAGCAACCTATTAGTAATGTGCGAAAAAGTTCTTCGACTCTAAGATCAGAAGA